GGCATGGGTCGCACTTGGCAAATTTCTGGAAGAATTTGTTTACCTTGGGGTAAGAATCTGTCATCGGGACACATTGCCAAGTGCGACCCCGAGTTTTCAAGTTGGAAAAAACTTTGAAAATCGCGAAAAACATCAAAGACGCCGTATTGCTAGGGTGGGGCAGGCAGATTTTGGAAAACTGGAACTAAACAATAGGAATCACGGCGGTAAGTGTCAGCACTTGTCAGCGAAACGTGACCAATTTGAAACACGATCAGTTTGAATCAATCGTTGAAATTTTCTGACCTTCGCGTTTTCGTTGTGGACGGACGAGGCTACCACTACTTTTCGCCATTTTAACGTTTTTGCGAAAACTTTCTACGGGCAAGCAATTCATAAGCTTGTAATCCTTCGCTATTTCAACGTTTTTACGGGAACTCTCTACAGGCGAGCCAATTATAGTCTACCCAGGCACCGTCACAGTCACACGTTCTCCGAGCTAAAAGCAGTCTTTGCAGCCAAGCACTTTATTTTCTTTATTTCTCCCATCCTCCTGAAACTGGGAAAGGAGGAAAACGATCCTACGCCAAATGATCGGACTACGAAGAGATAATGTTCTCTTGTATCTGGCCTACTTTAGTTCTCAGTGTGTCAAAACAACGACAATTAACTCCCACTAGTAAATACTAGTGCGACCCTCCTCGATTTGACTAAAAGTTTTCTTTTCCGGTTGCGGTTTCGAATTTTCGTGGTTTTTTAGCCGGCAAAGATGAAAACTTTTCCCAAGTGCGACCTATGCCTCAGTGGAACTTCATCATTTGTATCCGTGGAAGAACGAATTCAAGTTTCGTGTCAGCAAAGCAGGATATATTGAAGTAAGTAGTCAGCTTACAACCTCCGAGCATTTATTTATTATGCTGACCATCACGTTTAAATTCTTTTATGTAAGCTTCAGTTATTTATCGCTTATTAAACTATGAACAATCAGTGCTCAAACGTAAATTGGGCTCGGAGTTGATAACCGCTTAGATAAACTTCGGTAAATGTCTTATTTTGAAAATACATTTCATGGCGGCTTACGTGACGACAAAAAAGTTCAGAGACGATTTTACATAAAGTCCATGTTGAGATTGGTAAACTTCCTCAGAGTTATCATGAGTAATAATAATAACAACGAACTGCAATGATTGTCATGTTAGAAGCGCAAAAAAGGGGTTTTGATAATTTTTTTTTAATCGCCTACAGCGTGAGGTTTCTACGCTGGACATCTTGGTTAGGTTTCGGAGGTTTACATTGTTGACAAGCTGAGTGGCAATAGAGAAGAGCATTCTTAATTCAACCGGAAAATGAATGTCCTCTAGTCTGTACAAAATCTAATAACTACCTTGATCGAGTTGTAAAAGTTTTAAAGACTTTCGGTGTCAACAAAATCTGCCAGTACAAACAGATGCTGACAAAATGAATCAATCAATCAACACACCGAGTTTAGGGACGGACGATTAGAAAACTTCATGAGGGAGGTGTGTGTGTGTGGGGGGGGGGTAGGGGCGGCAAAGTACAAAAAATACCGTGCAAAGGAAAATTAAATGAAACAAAACTCATGCAAGTTAAGTTACCCTAAGAAAAAAGTCATACCGTAATTCCTCTATTAAACCTCCCAGGGCAAACTTATTTCAAATACATTTTGAGGGGGGCTTAATAGAGACGGGGGGGTACTTGAGATAGTCAGTTCTCCCGAAGAACTAGAATGCAAAGTGGAAAACTCAAGTACAAGAAGTTGGAGGTTATGCAGCCGAGGATCACTGAGTACAAATCAGAACTTTTAACGCGTGAACAAATAATCTCTCGGCCAGATCCTCCGGCCAAATGAAGTTTTACTGTAAAATGATAAGGGCGAAGGGAGAGAAGACGGGCTTAAAAGAGCGGCGGTTTTATTAACCTCCTTTCCCCGAAAAGGGGGCTTTGTAGAGAGGAGGCTTATTTGAGAAGGTGGTGGGGTGGGGTGGGGGGGGGATAGTGGGTTTACGATATTAGGTAAATATTTAATTTAAAAAAATAAGGAAAACTCGTCCCACTTGTACAGTCATCATTTGCAGGGGACAAGACTTTTCAATAGCCTGTTCCAGTCGTTCAGATAGTAGAGCGCAACGGTAAGTGGGGAGCGAGTTAAGTTGTACACCGGAAAAACGGGGTGGGGTGGAACGGGGGGGGATGCGATATGGAGGGAGAGAGACATCTGTTATCGAATAACGCGGACCTCGAAGCTACTATAAACAATGCAACGAAGCATTTCCTGTTTGAGGAATCTTTCGTGAAGAGCAGTAAATTTGCTTGAACCTCGTTCGCCGAGGCCAAGACGTTTTCGCGATTCTTCCAGCGGGCTCTGGGAGACCTTCATTTTTCTACTCTTTCCACGTCGAATAATAAACGTAATCTAAGGAAAAGTTGGCGAGTCAATTTCCACGATCATCATCGTTGCACCTCAAGCGAGTTTAGAATGACAGCAACAACAGCCATAGGTTGGGAACAGGAGGAAGGCATGGACGAAGACACGGCAATGTGAAAGGAAGGTGTGCGTGTGAGATCATTTATGGAAGCCCAAAAAGGCAAAAAAATCTTATTTGAAAGGTTATTTAGCCGCAATAAAAAGATTAATGCTTTAACAGAGGTCAAAGAAAATCAGTACTTTTAATAACCGCATCTGGAATCAAATTCTTTCAGAAACAAACCGCAGGAAATAATTGCCCAGTATGCATGACTGACCGTCTAAATGTTAGACTCAGAGCGACAGAAATTAGATTTGCTTAGTTAAAAGAAGGAAAATAACCTCTGATGTTGTTTATTGAAAGCTAACGCAAAGGTCACGTTTCACACTATCGCGAGCTTATGGGTCGCGTCTTTGTAGTTCATGTCACAGTTACGCGGTCGGCGGTCAATTAAGGCGGAAAGAGCTCTGTAAGGGAATGTTTACAGGCGTTCTCTTCCCTTCCCTCTCTAGTCTCCCTTCGTTTTTTTTTCCCTTCGTGAATTTTTCTCCCGCGCTTTACTATCTAAACGCCTGGAACAGGCTAACTTTTCTCAAGCAAACTCGTTCATAGGGCTTTCTCTTACAACTAGGAGGGAACCCTGGAACGAGGTTGTTTTTCAAGCATATCCCCATGAGTACGGTTTAGTCAAAAAGGCCATGGAAAAACTACATAAAATTATGTTCTTTGATTAGAAAAGTTCGAAGGAAAATTGTGTTCCACTGACCACACCTTCACGTCATAATCTGCCGGTCCTTGGGGTTCTCGAAAACCTTTCCCGTCATGATTTTATCTATTTCTTTAAACACTTAAAATCAATATAAAACAATGCGTTAAAATATTAATCACATAAAATCAGCTCATTCTCTCATGACAAAATCGACCTAAGAGAGTTAAAAACGTCAAAACTTCGTCGTTTTCAACCTTTTTTCGTTCTCTGAAAATGTAGTTAAAGTCATTTTAGCCAGAAGCCTAGTGACGGGCTCCTGTTTCAGGACATTTTCATATCCTCGTATTGTATAACCTTATCAAATTGTAAAAGGCTTCTATAAAATATGGGTTTACGTCAGTACGCAACTGTGTAACTTATCTTGTTTTGTGCCTTAATTTTATTTTCCTAGGCTTTATCTTGATTGTCTTTGTTTTCTTTAAGGGCGTAACCTGGTGTAGGCCCTTTCAAAGGTTCCCTGCCTTGTACCAAACGTCTCTCTCTCAACGAAAATTTGCGCGCAAAGGAAGGCGGGAAAGAAAAAACGGACTTCCGCTTTTCTCCTCCCCATGGTCCCTTGCGCTTCGTTATCAGTCACTAGCGTTTGGCGCTCGCCTCTGTGCGAAAAAAAAAGCGAAGGATTCTGTAGACTGGGGATCAGCAACTTTTAATAAAATTAGGATTATCTGAATCTCATGGTCTACTGACTATAGGTTCCTGTGGAAAGTCAATATAACTGGTCTTAATCTGTTTCAGTTTGACATTATGGCTCAGAGTTCAATGAATGTTACCAATACGTCAGTTACCATAAGCAGATTACAATACATGCATCCCTTCGCTGGAAACCTACCCTGTGTAACCATCCATCTTAAAGATGCTAATCCAGATGATATTCAGTTCTTTATTGATGAGCTGCCTGTTTCTATCAAAGGTAAGACTGGGTGATAAAACTTAGCAAATTTCATTAGTTATCAGTTGTTTCTCCAAACCTTAGCAAATGGAAATACAGAATTAAACATACATGTAAGGTTAAAAATTAAGTAACCATTAAATTTACAAAGAATGTAAAGGCACGATACAATATTACAACACTTAAATTAAATCACATGGTAAATAGAAAGGAGAGGCGAAGGGTATGTCTAGGTAAACTAATATTGTGCCCCTTAAACTTACGTATAACAAAAAACTTGTAGTCTTAAATAGAAAAGTAAACTTAGCAAATTCTGAACAGAACAGACCACAATCGTTAAGGGAACAGACCGCGAATAATTGTTGTTGCGTGTGAAATTCTCTGCACATTTTAGGAGGAGTCACCCACAATGTGAGCACAGTTACTGACTCTATAAATTAATAAGGAAAAACAGTGAGATTTAGCTAGAAACGGATCCAAATTTTGGTTCAAACTAGAGACGAATATAGTATCGTTATGATAATTCGGTGTTTAGAAGAATCACACTTTTTGCGCTTATAACTCTTTGCAGCACAATTGAAAATGAAAGATCTACGAGAGGAAAATCTAAAAAGGCAATTACGGGAACTGCAGAAACAGGAGGGAAACTGGCCAGAGCAGATGAGGAAGATGAGGCAACGCGAAGAGAATTCTCAAAGGCAGTTAAGGGAAATGCAACAACGCGAAGAAAACTCTCAAAGGCAGTTATGGGAAATGCAGGAACGAGAGGAAAACTCTCAAAGGCAGTTAAGAGAAATGCAGGAACGAGAAGAAAATTCACAAAGGCAGTTGAGAGAGACAGCAACGAGAAGAAAATTCACAAAGGCAGTTGAGAGAGATGCAGCAACGAGAGGAAAATTCACAAAGGCAGTTGAGAGAGATGCAGCAACGAGAAGAAAATTCACAAAGGCATTTGAGAGAGATACAGCAACGAGAAGAAAATTCACAGAGGCAGTTGAGAGACTGTGACTGGATCATTGCTCACCACGAAATTCAGATGACAGACAAATGCCTTGGGAGGGGAGGTTGGGGAAGTGTCTATGAAGGAGTATATTGTGGGTGCGCTGTAGCAGTGAAACAAATCCATGATTTGATTCTTTCTCCACATAACATACGCCTCTTTAATAGAGAAATGGAGATTGCTTCAAAGTGTCATCACCCTCATTTACTACAGTTTATCGGGGCCACAAATGACGAAGAAAGCCCTCTGTTTGTAACAGAGCTCATGGAAAACAATTTGAGGACTCTGTTGGAGCAGCGGCAACTATCTGAAAGGGAAATACGAGCCATTTCTCTGGACGTAGCTCGTGGACTTAACGATCTGCATCATAAAAAACCAGTACCCATCATTCACCGGGATATCAGCAGTGCTAATGTGTTGCTATGGCGACAGGGTGACCAATGGAGAGGCAAAGTGCCAGATTATGGCACTGCTAATTTCATGCAACAGAGCATGACAGTGGCTCCTGGAGCTATGATTTACAGCGCACCTGAAGCGCTTACACCACAGCAAACAGTCAAGGTTAGTTCTCATTGAAAAAATAAAGGATTCAAGGCTGTCTAAGTAACACCTTGCAAACACCAGGGCCGGATTGTTAAACGCTGAGTTAAGCGGATAACCGAGGTTAGCGCGAAATTTGAATTCAGATCATGATGAAAGCTTAAAAAGTAAATTCAGTTTAATTCTTTCTGTCAACAAGTTGATGATTGGAGTCATTAAAAATAACAGAGAAAATTATCCGAGAATGCTTTCGAACCAAAGAACAAGAAACCTGGATTAAATTTAACCATGGGTTAAGCGCTAATCGTTCTTCGAACAACTGGGCCCAGGTGGGGTCGTAATCACCCAAAGGTCGGTGATCTTTATTGGCCTGGTTATAATGTAAACTACTTTATACCTGATGCATGCAAAAGAGCACTAATGATAGCTATTCAGCTATTCTTCCTTCAAAAAATTATTGATGTCTGAAACTTTTGTTGAGTGCATAAAGTAGCAACTGGCCAGTACTGAAAATAAAACTGGCATGCTAATACATACAACGTGCTAGAACACTCGTCAAAGACTTTTAAGGACGAATGATTTCTGGCGAAATAGCCGTAGGCAGTTACAGTTTTATACAATGGAGAAAAATCACTTCTGTTAGTTCTTTAAGGTACTTTTATTATATATTACAGTACTAGTCAATATGGATCGAAATTGCTTCAACAGGTGAGATCTCTTCCCTTTCATATACATGAAGCCTGAAAACGCCGGCGGTATGCCTTTCGGGGGTGGGGGTACTCTCCCTATAAGCCATTATAGGAAGTACCAACCCCCCCTCCCCCGCCCCACGTCTGTAAGTTAAAGTCGTGATGCCATCAAGCGGTTGTTTTTATGTGGTTGAATAACATTTTTGCGGCCAAGCCTGCTTTGTTTTTGTTTGTTTGTTTTTCCATGGAAAACGTAACCCTCTGTCGAAACGAGTAAACAAGCGCGGCTCGACACGGCGAACGAGCATCAAAACTTAATGATTAAGAATACCGACATGAACTTGACCCAGCAGCTTTTCTCGTCCGTGTGTAACCAGGCAAAAAATATTTATTCTGGCTTAATTTACGTAGTAGCAGAGAATTCAAACACCCATAGAACTGTATATTACATGTAATTTTCATATCATTTTCTTTTGACACCCGATTGATGTTTACAGCTTTGGTGTTCTTCTATGTGAAATGTGCATCCGGGAACTTCCAGATCCTGGTAGGCGTGAAGTACAAGTCTTGCTTGTGACGAACACTGAGTTTAGGGACCTGGTACGGAGATGCCTTCAGAAGACTCCGAGCATGAGGCCAACAATGCAAGAGACTATCGACAACGAGAAAAAGTTCAACTTTCCATCTTATAATTAGTATAGGTAATAGCATGATTTGTAGTGATATTTGGCATAAATACCATGAGTGATATTTCAAAATTGTTATACGTAATTTCACTAGTCGTTACGCGAGTGAAATTTGAGACAATTTTGAAATATCACGAGTGGTATTTATGCCAAATGTCACCTACAAATCATGCTATTAATTGTTTATACTACTACCCGCAAAAGGTTTGTAATTTTCACATGTAGGTATTTCAAATTAAGCTGAAATACCACTGCTCTAAGCCAATCAAATTGCAGAAATTTCTCATGTAGTAGTATAATACGTTAAATAGTATGTGAAATAGCTTGTTCCCCCGTTGTCTGTACGGTGGAAAAACTCGAATTACTCAGAGAACTCGCATTTCCCCCCAACTCGAACCAAGTCCCATTTCCCTTGGATTTCATCACACTCTACAGTCAAGTTTACTCGGCTTACTCGAACTTGGATAACTCGAACAGAACTAAATTTCCTTTCCCTTGATCAAAAATTGGAGTTAAAATCAGTGCCCCAATAACTCAAATTCTGGATGATGTAACCCCAGTGGGATCATGCCATCCCATCATCCCATTAGCTCTTCTTGTTGTATAACAGGTAAAAACACTTGAACTAACACTACAGCAATCTGATTTTAATTGGTGCCACAAACAGATCACGTTTTATCATAAAATTGCATAATCATGTGACCTTTTTTAATGAAATAAGTTTGATTTGCTCTGTGCTATACCGACTGAAATGAAAAAAACTAACTAGTTTATCAGTTATCAATATGGAAAATTGACATGATATTCAATCGACCCCGATAAATCGAACTGATAATTACTTGAACTGTTTTTTGTTTCCCTTCATAGTTCAGGATAATGGGGCTCTACTGCCTTTTTTTTTAGAAATTTCTGTTTTTGAAATAAAAATTTCGTTCAGAAGTGTGTCTAGGGTAAAAAGCTAACAAATTAATGTGTGCTAGGAAGTTATGTCTCGTCTCGTGCTTGGCGCCAACACGCTGCGTTCGCCTCACTTGGCTGATAAAGCGCCTGTTACAGTGCAGGGTACCGAAGTCTTTGAACCCTGAACCCTAAACTTTAGCACTTTGCCCTGAAAAACTTCCTGGTTCATTTCGCTACCTTTCTTAAGGTCTCGGTAAAGGAAAACGAGGTGCCCACAGAAAAAAATTCTAGTCGCCGGAGTATTTTCGCTACAAAGGCAAGTTATATATCAAATTAAAGCTAAAAGACTAAATTACCTTATAAAAGATTTTATTTTATTGAATTTCAAAAGGCGCTTAAGTTTTTTGCTCTCGAACTCAGAGGTATCAAGTTTACTGCTGAAGCTCCATCCCTTTCGCGTTGTTAAAAATTCACTTCCTTTTTATTGCATCTGATTGACAGATAAAAGACCTAAGAAAGCGTGTGAGGAATTTTCCGATTTCCCTTTGTAACTCATTTTATGTCAGTTTCTTTGCGTGAATCGCGCTCGAGGTTCGACTTTTTAGTTTGAAATGCAACAATTCCGCTAATACGAGACATATGCAAACCCTTTTTTAGGTCTTTTATCTGTCAATCAGATGCAATAAAAAGGAAATGAATGATTTAACAACGCGAAAGGGCTGGAGCTTCAGCAGTAAACTTTATAAGCTATATAGGTTCGTGCCACCCCATCGGGTGCACCGTTTTGGTCTGAAAACGGGTAACTGTACACTTCGCCTATTTTGGTCTGGAATTGGGTGTGGTTTTCGAGGGAACTACATACGGGAGTGTAGAAAGGTATTTATCGTTTTACTTCCAAATGAGTAAGAAAGAAAGAGAAATATGCGAATTCGAAATGGATTTTCAGAATTGCTTGCGCTTTAATCTAAGAAATGGTAACATAATTTCTTCCTAAAAGCCAGGTGTGAAAAAGGGTATGGATTTTAGAGGTCTGGTCTGAAAACGAGAGTGGAAAATTAAATTTTTTTGGCCCGGAATAGGGTCAGGATTTGGAGAACTGGGCAGCACACCCCCTGCCAAGAATTCCCAGGAGTACCTCCCGGGTATTTTTTAAACTAACCCAGGAGCCTCTTGACTAACATCTAGCCTGTGAGCAGGCTCTCCGGGGTGCTCTCCGGGGCGTGGGGGGCTTGCTCGCACATACACTTTAAGGCCAAATAAGGGAGTTCTCCCCCAGGAAAGTAACTCTTCTTCGCGGTGTACAAAAAAACGTACAATTCCGGTTTTTACAAACATAACTGACACTTGAATGTACTGATATACCCGACTAGGAGCCTACACAATCTGTTTATGTAACCGATGTAATTTCACGGTAAACGTACTGTAGTTTACCGTTTGCTTCATCTGTAGCGTCGGATGTAGCGGTATATCGCTAAATTTGTGCATGTACCAATGCTAAATAAATGTTGTGTTATCTCACCTTCGGTAAATTGTCGTCTTTTTGCCTGCGAAGTGGTATTTTGAGCGATAATGAAGTATTTCGAGTTCGCTATTTACTGTTCTTCTTAATTATTTAGCGATATACCGCTACAGATAAAGAAAACGGTAAATACAGTACGTTACATTATTTACCCTGCTTATAGGGAATTGCAATAAAGTCTGGCTAAGGGACTATACTTGGGCCTCTTTTATTTCTTTACACATTACTAGATGATCTGCCAAACTGTCTGTCTAAATCTGAAGCAAGAATGTATGCTGACGACACCCATGCTGATAGGGACATTGATTCAATTCAGGTCTCTCTAAACCAAGACTTAACAAATATAAATCACTGGCTTATTGTAAATAAACTAACTTTAAACACAGCGAAAACTGGATACATGTTAATACTCAACACTCTTTGCCATCCATAGATATTAATGGCTCACCCATCAATAGGGTTAATTATATTGTACTAAATCTCTCGGTGTTTTGATAGATGAAAATTTAACATACAGAAACCATACTGATGTTATATCAAAAAGGATTTCTTCGGGTATTGGTTCTATAAAACGATTGCGACACCCTTTACCTCCCTGGAACCCTGCTCAACATCTACTATCATGGTTTGGTCCAATCGCACTTTGACTACTGCAGTAGTGTTGTATGGGGCCGGTATGGCTGCATGTGGTAATTTGAAATATTATCTAATAAGTTACAAAAACTCCAAAATCGTGCAGCTTGTGTACTTACCTTATCCAACTATGATGCTGACGCTCCCGAATTACTAAAAAAACTAAATTGGGATAATTTCGTATAGAGACTCGACGCCAGATTCTTAAAGCAGAAATGGTCTATAAAATTAATCCTTAAACGGCTTAACACCGGATTATTTATCTTGTAAATTTATTCCATGTGATGACATTAATAACTCTTATGACTTGCGAAATTCTGCAAAGAAGCTCACTTTTCCCCTGCCACGTATTATAGCTATAGTGGTGCGGTTCTCTGGAACAGTCTACCTTCGAATGTTAGGCAGGCAGCCTCGCTAACTTCATTTCGTAAGTTACTAAGACATTCCGACATGACATTCATGTAAAGCAGCCTTATTTATTTATTTATTTATTTATTTATTTATTTAGTATGGTTTGTATAGTTAGCTTTATAACTTAAAGCTGGTAACATATGTGCAATTTTTACTGCCTGATGTATTTACCGTGTTTAAATAAAGATGATGATGATGATCATGATGATCATGATGAGTCTAATTACCGTATTTATTCGTTTCGGCGCCCTGGGCGCTTATTAAACTTTTGGGCCCTGAGAGTGAGGCGGGCGTTTATTAAATTTTCATCGTTCTGAGCAAGTAGTAAGTTAATTTTCCAACGAAGCAGTGAATAATATAACAAAATGTGAAGATGTGTCAGAGCAGAATTCTAACCGCTCTTTGAACTCAGCCTTCGGGGAAATTTCTTAGTAACATTGTAGCAATGTCAATTTCTATCTCATTGTCAGTAAGATCGAATTCTCTGGTGCATATTGCCTCGTAGTTGTCTCACAGCGTAACATCTGCAAATGGGTCATACGACCAGAGAAGCAGATAGACCAGTAAAGAAATAATAACTAACTCTTTTTGTCCACTTCAGTTTTTTATTGTTGTTGTTGTTGTGGGTTGGCGTGGGCGCTTATTAAATTTTCCTGCTAACGGATGGGTGCTTATTCGAGGTGGTCGCTACTAGCTAATTTAATCAAATAAATACGGTACATACCGTATAATGCTTCGTAAGGCGTGTAAATATTGAGAAGACCAAAAAGCTGGTAGACTGCAAAAAAGTCCTTTTTTTCTCAAAATCAGTAAAGAAATCGGTAAAGTGTGCCGTAAGAGTCTTACGCGCGCGAAGCGCGCGAACCTCACACGCATGTAGGGCTTGTGAGGCGAGAGGGAAAAAATTTTCTCCCCAGGTCTCGCTCTCTGTTTTCAGCCTCGTTCCAGACCTTTTGTTTGACTGCTCGCGCGTACTTGAATACGCAAAAATACGGACTGTTTTGCAGTCTAAAAGGCTGGAGTATGGGAAAGGAAAAGAGCTATAGCCTTGCCCATCATGACAGCGGCCTTTTTGGCTTTGTTCTTAATCTTGTTGTTTCTACGGCTCTTACTAACCCAGCCGCGTCTTTAGAGGTTCTATCGGTGTCATTAAAATTTTTAAAAGCAGTTTCAACGTCCTCAGTTTAATCTGTAATATGTCCTTATTATTACTACATTTGACTGGTGTACATGTTGCAGGTATTTTTTAGTTCAGTTAATTTTTGTCTTTCCTTTGTTTCAAATTCATTAGCATACATTACCGCACCCAAAAACAAAGGAAAAGCAAAAAATAACTGAAATAAAAAATTAAGTGCAACATGTCTAAAGCCTCCCCAAAAGCGACTCTCGTATGCTTTGACATGTAGTGCTCTTTTACCTTTTTTCAAAGAGTCCTAGGGGCGAAGTGGTTACTTTTTATCCTGTATATTCTGTATCGTATAATGTATTAAAAATTCGTTTTATTTGCTTGCAAATTGGGCACATTAACTTTCAGTTGAATGGTTTCG